ACTTGACGGCAGTGGGTTTTTTGGTTTTAAACCTGATCTGTACTTGCTATGTAGTAACATGAACTTAAAGATAAAATACTACAAATACTTTTTGTCTATCACTACTAAACCAAAACATAGGGTAACATATATTGAGTCATCCAGATCTTCTCCTCAAATCTAATTTTTGTTTTTAAAAATGTTCTCAGTTGCAAAAAATGTGTTTGTGCTGCTCTCTACTGACCTATGGCAGTACTGCATTTCACAGAGATTAATACCTTAGGGTATTAATAAAACTAATTTTTATTCAATATTTTAAAATTTTGTCTCTTAAGGTTAATCTTTAAATATAATTTTATTCTATTTTAAAGGAACTGAAAAATAGTTTAATTATCATTTGAACATTAATGCTTTGAGTTTTAGCTTTTGGATTTTTAAAAGTAAAAAAACTCTAAATTAAACTTTGGTGTCTGCCAAATAATACAGAAAATTCAAATAAGAGGAATAAAAATTAGACTTCCTTCATGGAGTATGGAAACCCTAATGGCACAGTGGTTAAGAGTTCGGCTGCTAACCAAAAGTCGGCAGTTCGAATCCACCACCAGGTGCTCTCTGGAAGCCCTATGAGATAGTTCTACTTTGTCCTATAGGGTCGCTATGAGTCGGAATCAACCTGACGGCAATGGGTTTGGTTTTTGGTTTTTCATGGAGTATAACTGGTACCAAACATATTTTTTTTTCTCAAAGAACAATACAATCTCACTTTTAAGTCATGTATTTGTGCATTAAAGAGTCTATGACAGTCCAAAGAATGTTAATCACTGAGAATCTCTCTAAGTCAAAGAACAGATCATAAGGTAGACATCTGAATATTTCTCAAATGAAGTAATACTACAAAGACTCTTCTGCATAAGCAATTGAAGATAACAAATCCTGAGTGCTACCAATAAAAATTACCTTGGAAATTCGTGTCTGGTAAATTGAGTTCACTTTCTTCTGTTTCCTAGCTCATGTACTATCCCATATTCTGCAAAATAACATAAGTTGCCTATAATTTTCCTGAGCGACAGCTCGGTGGAGTTTTTTTAAAAGCAGGAACACCAAATTTATAAAATATGTACTCCTGAAGAAATTTTTTGGAAAGTAAACTTCAAATATCAAATTCCCTCAAGGACTTACATTCCTATTTTTTAAGACTCTCACTTGAAAAATTTAGCATTTACTGACCTTTTACTATATGGCATAGGATTTTAATATATTATCACCAATCCTTACAACTCTGAAAGATGAAATACCATCATTCCCTCTTTAAATGAGGAATTTGAGGTGGAAAGTGATTAGAGTAAATGGTCCAAGATGACACAGCTAAGTAGCAGAACGAGGATTCAAACTCATGTTAGTCAATCTCCAAAGCCAAAATTTTCCACTATTGTTGTTGTTAGGTGCCATGGAGTCAGCTCTGACTCACAGCAACCTTATGTACAACAAAATGAAACACTGCCCGGTCCTGTGCCATCCTCACAATTGTTGCTATGTTTGAGCTCACTGTTGCAACCACTGTGTCAATCCATCTCATTAAGGGTCTCCTTTTTCACTGACCCTTTTTTTTTTTAACCAAGCATGATGTCTTTCTCCAGTGACTCGTCTCTCCTAATGACATGTCCAAAGTAAGTGAGATGAAGTCTTGCTGTCCTTGCTTCTAAGGAGCATTCTGGCTCTACTTCCTCCAAGACAGATTTGTTCATTCTTCTGGCAGTCCATGGTATATTCAATAA